TTGAATGAATTAATACATTGAACACCCATATGTCCCTTCACTTAAATTCACCAATTGTTAACATTTTGCCATACTTGTTGTCCATCTCTCTGTATATATGTGAATGTGTGTATATTTCCTTTTCTTTTCAATTAAACCATTTGAGACCTCATAATTCTACATCCCTAAATACATCAATGTGTATCTCCCAGGATAAGAACATTGTCCAGTGACAATAAATAAACAAAATGTGGTATAACTATACTATATAATATTCAGTCATAAAAATATGAGGTATTGATTGTTTAGTTTAATTAATTAAAAAATGTCTTACTTTTTACTTTCGAAAATTCTGAACGTACAATAAAGTACATTGAATGAATTAATACATTGAACACCCATATGTCCCTTCACTTAAATTCACCAATTGTTAACATTTTGCCATACTTGTTGTCCATCTCTCTGTATATATGTGAATGTGTGTATATTTCCTTTTCTTTTCAATTAAACCATTTGAGACCTCATAATTCTACATCCCTAAATACATCAATGTGTATCTCCCAGGATAAGAACATTGTCCAGTGACAATAAATAAACAAAATGTGGTATAACTATACTATATAATATTCAGTCATAAAAATATGAGGTATTGATTCACACCACAATATGAGTAATCCTTGATTAAACCCAGGACAAAAATCCACATGTTGTACTACTCTACTTATATGAAGTATCTAGAAGAGGCAAATATGTGCCCTGGCCAGTGTGGTTCTGTTGGTTGAGGGTCATTCTGTGCACTGAAAGGTAGCTGATGGATTCCTGGCCAGAGGACATGCCCAGGTTGCCAGCTCAATCTCTGGTCAGGGTGTATATGTGGGAAGCAGCCCATTGATGTTTCTCTCTCACATCGATGTTTCTGGGGATAGGGAAGTGACTGCTAATAGGTATGAGTTTTCTTTTTGGGGTGATGAAAATGTTCTGGGATTAGTTAGATGAGTCATACCTCCAAGCTGTTCTTGCTGATAGACCATTTTTAATTTTATTTTTATTTATTTCAGAGAGGAAGGGAGAGGGAGAGAGATAGAAACATCAGTGATGCGAGAGAATCATTGATCGGCTGCCTACTGCACGCCCCCTACTGGGGATCAAGCCCACAACCCAGGCATGTGCCCTTGACCAGAATCAAACCTGGGACCCTTCAGTCTGCAAGCTGACGTTCTATCCACTGAGCCAAACCAGCTAGGACCTGATAGACCATTTTTGTTTTTGTTTTGTTTTTGTGTGTGTGTGTATATACATATATATACATACATATATTCTTAATATATTTTTTTATTGATTTCAGAGAGGAAGGGAGAGGGAGAGAGGGATAGAAACATCAATGATGAGAGAGAATCACTGATAAGGCTGCCTCCTGCACGCCCCCCACTGGGGACTGAGCCCGCAACCCGGGCATGTGCCCTTAACTGGAATCGAACCCGGGACCCTTCAGTCCGCAAGCCAACTATCCACTGAGCCAAACTGGCCAGGGCTTGATAGACCATTTTTGTGTTTGTGTATTTAAGTATCCATGCTTTGACTAACATAAACTATCATCATTTATGGAGGTCTTCCTTTCAGATGTACTTACATTATAAGTTGATGGCTGTGATAGATTTGGTATGTAAAGAAAGCCCCACCCCTCCTTTTTTTGGTCCCTTGGCGTTTCTTCAAAGTAATTTAAGTTCCATATTAGGCAGATGCTGGTTTTTAGTATGCTCTGAAAAAAATGCTCTTTTTTAAAAGTGTATAATGCCAAGAATTTTATAACTCTTTTATGCTGTGATTTATCCTTATGACCTTTCTGAATTACATAGATAAAGAGAAACTTTTATTATAGCCTTTTGAAAGCAAGATTTAGTTAGTTCCTGGCAAGGGCCTAAATTGAACAAATAACCCTATATGTAGAATGCAGTTTTATCTTCAGTGACACTATTTGAACACAGCATAAATTTTACTGTTTTAACTTTTTATATGCAAAACCATGTAGGATACATTTTCCCCTATGTCGTCTTAGAAAAGAAGGAAAGTCATTATTAATACAGTGGGGCCTTGACTTACGAGTGTCCCGACTAATGAGTTTTTTGAGATACGAGCTGTCTCTCGGCCGATTTTTTGCTTTGAGTTGTGAGCTAAAATTCGGGTTACAAGCCAGCTTCAGATACCCCACGGCTAGTTGGCGCAGCGAACGTCACAGTGAACGCCACAACATCAGCCCAGCATCACGTGTCTCACTCGTTCACTTTTTGTTTTGACATACGAATAATTTGAGTTACGAGCTCTGTCATGAAACAAATTAAACTCGTAAGTCAAGGCCCCACTGTAATCTAAGCTTCCATCTTAACCAATTATTAAAAGGAAGTAAATTAAACTCAAAACAAGCAGAAGGAAGAAAATAATAAAGATGAGAGTTTACAATTAATAAAATTGAAAACAAAATCAATACAGAAACATCATGGAATCAATAACAAGTTCTTTAAAAAGATTAATTAATAAACTGCTAACTAGACCAACCAAGTAAAAAAGAGAAAACAAATGATCAATTCTATATAATGAAAGCCTAATATACAAATTGTTCCCTTGGGAGTTTGACTGGGGGTTCGACCGCTCGCTATGATGTGCACTGACCACCAGGGGGCGGCGTAGAACTTGGCGGGCATCAGTGATGAGGTGCTGGCAGCAGTGGGCAGTGGAGGTGCTGCCAGCCCCTATGGGCCCTGACAAGGGCAGGACCACAGCAGGATGGTGGAGCAGGTGAGCAGGCGGCACCAGACCAAGGCTGGTGCGAGCGTGGGCCCGATTGCCTTGCCATCTGCCCTGCAGATGGTGACCAGCAATGATGGGCAGGGCTGCCGCCCAGCTACCAAGCACTGAGGGAGCCGGGCAGGGGGCCCAGCCCCAATCAATCACCCTGCAGGTGGGATGGTGGAACAGGTGAGGGGGCAGTGCCAGGCCAAGGCAGAGTGCTAGGTAGGGCTGCGGGGCTGGGTGTGCAAGCTGGGGCTGCAAGGCTGGGGGCTCAATCTGGGGCCCGATTCCTGCAGGCTACCCTGAGCAACCCAACTGTGCATGAATTCGTGCACTGGGCCTCTAGTATAGGAATAAAAAGGAGGACAACTTGATGATCCTGAGGTCATGTAAAGTATGAAAAAAAATATTAGGGAATATTTTATGACCTTACTAGAAGCCTGGTGCACAAATTCGTGCACATTGAAAGCAAATTAATTAGAAGAAATATTTTAGAGGCTGGGGAGGGGCTGCAGGAGGGCTCCAGGGCGTGTCCGGCCTGTCTTGCCCAGTCTGATTGGGGCCGTCTCGCCCAGCATCAAGCTGACCTACTGGTCAGAGCGTCTGCCCCCTGGTGGCCAGTGCATATCATAGTGACTGGTTGAACGGTTGGACACTTAGCATATTAGGCTTTTATATATATAGATATCCTACAACTTAGCTGAAATGGACAAATTCCTTAAAAGTTGCACAATACCAAAGCTCATGAGGAAGAAACAACCCAAATAGTCCATGTGTATTAAAAAAAAAATCAATCTTAGCCCAGCTGGTGTTGCTCAGTGGTTGGTAGAGCATCGCTTATGAACCAGGAGGTCACGGTTTGGTCAGGGCACAATCCCCAGTAAGAGCGTGCAAGAGTCAACCGATTAATGATTCTCATCGTTGATGTTTCTATCTCTCTCCCTCGCCCTTCCTCTCCTAAATTAAAAAAAAAATTATATATATCTTATAGTTTAAAACTTTCCAAAAAAGAAAGCTTAGACAACTTCACTGATAAAGTTTTGAAAAATTGACTTAAAGAAGAAATAATGTAAATTCTACACAAACTTTCCCTGAAAATAGAAGAGGAGGAGATATTTACCAACTGGGTAAATACTTGGGTTCTGGCTAGGAAAGAATTCAGAGCCAAGATCTAAACTGTAAGAGAACATTTATTTGGTAAATCACAGAGGAAGAAGAAGCAATTCCTAGAAGAAAAGGGCTTCAGAAACAAGTTATAGAGGTAAAGGAAGGGCCCTTGGAGCTTGGGAGTGAGGAAGTTAATGGTAACATGCCTGGGGCAGAGACGGGGAGGGAGAAGGGAAAGGGAAAGACAAGAGGGCTTGCTCTTGGGAGGGGAGAATGCACTGGGCCCTCCATCCTAAGGGTTTTAAGGGTGGAGATTTTAGGGGAGGTCCCAGGGGAAGAGCTCAATAGAATATTCAGCAGTTTTCCCCTTTCAGGATCTAGGTGTCCTCAGATTGATTGGTCTTCCCAGGGCAAGGGGTCATTATTCAATGCAGTTGGTCCTAAGGCTGGTTTTGTTGCTTCTCTGGCCCTGGAACTGCGATACAACCTGAGGTATAGATGGTATCTCCGGGGAGGAAAGGGAGGGGGTCTTGGTCCAAACCACATGACTACCAATATGCTAGGGTCTAAGTCTCCACTGATGGATTGGTTGGTGCCAGGGCAGGAGGTCATTATTCAATGTAGTTGGTCCAGTGCACAAGCCATGGGGTTTTGTCTTTTTTTTTTTTTTTCAAATATATTTTTTTTATTGACTACACAGTGATGGCGAACCTTTTGAGCTCGGCATGTCAGCATTTTGAAAAACCCTAACTTAACTCTGGTGCCGTGTCACATATAGAAATTTTTTGATATTTGCAACCATAGTAAAACAAAGATTTATATTTTTGATATTTATTTTATATATTTAAATTCCATTTAACAAAGAAAAATCAACCAAAAAAATGAGTTCGTGTGTCACCTCTGACACGTGTGTCATAGGTTCGCCATCACTGGACTACAGAGGCGAAGGGAGAGGGAGAGAGTGGAAAACATCAATGAGAGAATCATTGATCGGTTGCCTCTTGCATGTCCCCTACTGGGGATCAAGCTTGCACCCCGGGCATTTGCCCTTGACTGGAATCAAACCCAGGACCCTTCAGTCTGCAGGCCGACGCTCAATCCACTGAGCCAAACCAGCTGGGGTTGTGGTCTGGTTTTGTTGCTTTTCTGGGCCTGGAACTGAAATACAACCGAGGCCTAGATCTTATCTCGAGGGAGGAAAGGTTAGGGGGGTCCAAACTGCAGGACCATTGATATGCTAGGGGAGGAAAAGTCACCCTGGGGGCTAAGTCCCCTGGGACTTTCCACCCTGGCGACCTTCTGTACCTGGTCTATCATCCTTGCTCTGCTCGTGTCTAACTGCCTACAACACAACCAACTGAGCGACCCAGCCAGGGCTAATTCCACCGTCTTGAAACTCTATCTTTTCTTGGCTTCCATGACATCCCATCCACTGAAGATTCTTCTGCCCAATGATCCGTTTCCTTAAAAAAAAAAAAAAAAAGAACATTGTCCAGTGATATCACACTACATAATTTAGCATTGGTTCAATACAGTTATCTAAGATAGGTTCTATATTCAAAAGTCTTTAATTATTACAATAATATGTGTATATAAGTTTTTTTAAACCCAGGATCCATTTGTATATTGCATTTAGTAATTGTGTCTTTTTAGATTCCTTTAATGTAGAAAAGTTCCATTTATTATATCATAGTTCTGTAGGTCAGAAGTCTGGGTAGGCTTGAATGCGTTCTCTGCTAAAGGTTTCACAAGGCCAAAAATCATGGTATTGGCCAGTCAGGCTCTTATCTTGAGGCTCTGTGGAAGAATCTGTTTCCAAACCAGGTTGTTGACAAAATCCTTGTGGCAATAAGAGGGAAGTCCTTATTGGCATTCACATTCCAACTCACAGTATCCCTCCATGTTGAAGCAACCAGCATGTTGAATGCTTCTCATGCTTCAAATCTCTGACTGAGAAATGGCTGCCAGCAGCCCTGACTGGGGCAGTCGCAGCATAGGAACAATTATCCCTGCCAGCACCTCCGTCTGGGAGAAAGCCACCTCCGAGTTCCTGCCCTGATGCCAGACAATCCAGTTCCTCCTCGTATGTGTCTGGGTCCCCCAAAGCCTCGCCCTGGTGCTGGAGCTCAGAAGAAGCAGGACCTTGTTGTCTTGCTAATAATGGTATTGCAACCGTTGTACTAAAGTCCTTCAGGTAAAATCAAAACCCTGGCCAAGTACCTAATTGCTTCCCATGACCTGGCTCCTGACAATACACCAAGCCTCACCTTCTTGGCAGATAGCAAACATTCAATAAATTTTATGTAATAGATGACATCGATCAATACCAAGAGAGGTCTGAATGCCCACCGTTTGGCCCAGGCCCTTCAGTTTAAAGCTGAGATCCACAGTAACTTCATGTTTTGGACCAGTGGTTCACAAAGGTTTTGTGTTCAGAATTCCTTTACACACTTAATAATGGAGGGCCTCCAAGAGCTTTTATTTTTGTGAGTTACATCATTTATATTTATTGTATTAGAAATTAAACTGAGAAATGTTAAAAAAAAATCTCTCTGATTTCCACTCTAACACTAGCCAGGAAAGCTCTGCTTGGAAAGGGTTTACACAGATAATCTCCTTTTTGACTGACTCAAATTCAGCTGATTAATAACCTTTATTATGTCTGTAAAATCAATTTACCATGTAATGTAATACAATCATGGGCATAATATCTCATCATATTCACAGTTGGGGTATCAGGATAGGATAATTTAGGGAGACTTTTTAGAATTCTGCATGCATATTGGGTATCTAATAAATTTTTCTACTGCATAGGTGTCTTTTTCCCATTCTGGTTAAGTACTCTGTGGGAGTGAAAGTCTGTGAATAGCCTGTTTTCCAGCTGCTTCTAGTGATTTTTAATGATTCATGCTGTAATCAGTTATTACAAAGACAAAACATTGATTAGCTATTCCATCATTTCTTCTGTTCTTTTTAGATGGCATTCACTTGGACAGAAGGTTTCTCCCTTCCCCTCCTTCTGCCCACTCCCTTTTCCCACCCCCTTTCCAGGGGGTGGTAACACTATAGATTTATGGATTTTTTTAACTAAATTTTTTTTGAATTTAGCATTTCATAATCTTGCTGACATTATTTTTGTTATATTGTTAGTATACCAGGTTCTTAATATAAGAATTGTTGAAGCTAGCAACAAAACTAAACTATTTTCATTGTGGGGAAAAAAACAAGTTACTGTCTTACCCATATTTAATCACACAGTTCAGAGGTGTTAAGTATATTCACACTAGAGGCCTGGTGCATGAAATTCGTACAGGGCGGGGGGGATATCCCCTCAGCCCAGCCTGCACCTTCTCCAATCCGGGACCCCTCGGGGGATGTCCAATTGCCAGTTTAGGCCTGATCCCAGGGATCGGGTCTAAACCAGCAGTTGGACATCCCTCTCACAATCCAGGACCACTGGCTCCTAACTGCTCACCTGCCTGCCAGCCTGATCACCCCTAACTGCCTCTGCCTGCTGGCCTGGTCGCCCCCAACTGCCCCCCTCTGCTGGCCTGGTTGCCCTCAACTGCCCCCCTCTGCTGGCCTGGTTGCCCTCAACTGCCTAACTAACCCACCTGCCAGCCTAGTCACCCCCAACTGCCCCCCCACCGGCCTGGTCGCCCCACATAGCCTTGCTGTTCGTCGTTTGGTCATCCCTCACTAACCCCCCTGCCGGCCTGGTCACCCCACGCAGCCTGCTGTTCAGTCGTTTGGTGGTCCCTCACTAACCCCCTGCCGGCCTTGTGGCCCCACGCAGCCTGCTGGTTGTTACTGTGATGGTGTCCTGGACAATTTGCATATTCCTCTATTAGTATAGATTGTTATGCAACAGATCTCTAGAACTTTTTAATCTAGCAAAACTGGAACTCAGTACCCATTAAACACTAATTCTTCCTCTCCTTGCCCCTCAGCCCTTGGCAACTACCTTTCTGTTTTCTGTTTCTATGATTTTGAACACTTTAGATACCTCATATGAGTGGAATCATATGTGACTTTTTGTAACTGGCTTATTTTTCTTAACATAATGTCCTTGAAGTTCATCCATGTTATAGCATATGACAGGATCTCTTTATTTAAGGTGGCGTAACATTCCATTGTATTAACATTTTCATCATTCATCTGTCAATGATCATTTCCACCTAGCAAAGATAATTTTTTAAATTAGTCTACTTAAGTTGTAGCCAGAGTAAATTTAAGTTATATCAGAGCCCAAAACCCCTTTTGACACATTTTTATTGTTGAGAGTATTACAGATGTCTCCCTTTCCCCCCTATTACTCTCCTCCACTCGGTTTCCACCTCACCCCAGGCCTGGTTTTTACAGCCTGCAGTTATGGGGACTTCTCTTCCCAGCACTGGAACCCTGGGCTGAGGGGTCTGGTGTGGGGCAGGGACTCTTTGCTCCTCACGGGAGGTCTCTGCAGCAGAGATATCCCTCCTGATTAAAAAAATTGCCACACGTAGGTGTCGAACCAGCCCATTCCAGGCCTCCGCCCGTCCTACCAATGTCAATGTGCTTTCTTCTTTACTTTTCTAGTTGTAGGACTTCCATTCAGCTAGATTTCAGGTGGTTCTGAATGATGGTTTTTCTGTATTTTAGTTGTAATTTTGATGTGGCTGCGGGAGACGGTGAGTATAGGCATTTACCTATGCTGCCGTTTTGTTGTTTTTTTTAAAAAAAATCCTTTTCTTTGAGAAAACAAGAATGAAACCCTCTTCCTTGCAGTGATAATTTTTATGTAAATTAGTTTCTTTTTTTTTTAAATTAAATCTTTATTGTTCAGATTATTACATTTGTTCCTCTTTTTTCCCCCCATAACTCCCCTCCTCCCAGTTCCCACCCCACCCTCCGC